GGACGCTCCTGGGCGGCGAGGTCTATCGTTGCCTGCGCCCCCACCCCGAAGCCTGGGACACCTTTGTCTCAGGGAGGGCGCAGCTGGGCCTCACCCCTTGTCGTCGGGTGCCACCACAGGGAAGGGGCCGGTGAGCCCCGACCTCGGCTCCGAAGCGCCTCGCCCGAGTCCTGGGGGCTCCGCGCAGACCCCGGCGGCCGCCTCCGCCTCCCAGCCTGAGGCCCCGGGACCAGGAGTGGCGGCCGTGACAGCGCCCCGCCCCCGGCCCATGAGTCCGGTGGGCCCTGCGGGTAAGGCGCCCTGGGCCTGGCTGCAGACTGTGCACCCCAACAGCCGCCCGGCCGCGGCAGGCCCCGGAGGTCGGGTGCGGAGGCCCAAGGGAAGGTCAGGGCTTGGGACCAGGCTTCCTGATGAGGAGAGGGGGCGCAGCAGGTGTCGGGGGAACCGCTGGGAGGCGTCTGGGGTGCGCGGAGCTCCAGTGGGAGTCTGGCCAGTTGACCGCAGGTGCCCACAGGCCAGAGCGGTGCCCCTGGGCCTCTGCGGTGCAGCCCGGGCCAGGTGCCCTGCCAGGCGCTGGCCTGCGTGGGGCAGGAGCAGCTGTGCGACGGGACGGAGGACTGTCCGGACGGCTCGGACGAGGGACACTGTGGTGAGCGGGGCCGCGGCCCAGGGAGGGTCCGGGGTCGCGTGAGTGGCGGTGCCAAGGAGACCCAGGTGGGGGCCATCCCTGCCCCTCATTTCTGACTCGCATGGAGGGCCAGGAGAGACTTGGGGCCACAGGGGTGGAGAGAGACTCCGCAGGTAGTCAGCCAGGAAGGGGTGCACCCTTGGGCACAGGAGGGCATGGCCAGGTCTTGGGTGCCAGCCCCTTGCACACAGCCTGTCTGGCCTGTGGGGAGGCATGCTCCCTCCTCCCTCCTCCCTTTTCCCTCCTCCCACCTCCCTCCTCTCCTCTCCCTCCTCCCTTTTCCCTCCTCCGTCCTCCTCCCTCCTCCCTCCTCCCTTCTCTTTCTTCCTCCCTCC